GAAGCCACTGCAGCATGAGCTTGATACCAGCCAGGGAGCTGACCCACGTGGTGCAGCAGACCTCTCTTGTTACACCTGCTGCTTCCCTAAGCAGTGTGTTTAAGTCCATCTGCCTGTTCTGTTCCCCACTCTGTCTCTGGTGAATCCTCTAACCCAGACCACCTCTGGTCTGTATCCCAGTTCTGTAGGCGTAAATAAATAAATCTTTAAAAAAAATAAACCCAATCAGCTGAGAAGATACAATGATGACAAATTTCTATGTATGAAGCAGTATTGCAAATAAAACATAACACTCAAGAAATGCAAAGGGAATTAAAGAAAGCTACAACTGTAGGTGCTTCTAGCAATTCTCTGCTAGAATGTACATACATGTCTGTGTGTATATATGAATATAGTGTTTTAGTATCAAAATTAATAAACGTGGTTTTATGTGAATGAAAATGTAATTTTTTCAAGTATCTATGAAAAACCTACAAACGTTAGCTCTATACCTGCTAAACCATAAAGAAAAGATTAATAAGTTTCAAAAAGTAAATGGCCTATTATCTGCACTCTTTGACCTTACTACATCATATATGAGTTAACAATAAATACAGAAAAAAATTCTAACCATTTGGAAGATAGTGCATGTGTTCACCCATGCACACACATGGGCATGCACACACAGATACACACACGTGCTCACAAGCAACAGGTCAAAAAAAAGCCCCCAAATCTAAAAAACTCTACTTGAAGACAGTGACAGTAAGTACACTACCTATCAAAATTTATGGGATCTAGTCAAAGTGGTAAGCAGAGGAAAATTTATAGCCTCAAAGTTTACTATTAAACTATGAAGAATTATTATAAATGTAATTGACAGGGCACTTATATAAAAGTGGTAGGGGTGTTGCATGGATGTCTGAGCACGCCACTGAGTCATACATCTTTTATGCTGTTTATCCTTACAACACCCCATTTCAGAGAGGAGGAAAAGGAAACCTCACAGAGGAGTATAACTCGCTCCAGGTCAGAGCTGGTAAATAATGGTGTCGAACCCACGCCTGCCTCCCCAGGGTAAATGCTTCCTGCCATAACAGTGGACCGCTGATGCTGGATACCATGACTCATTCGTCTGCTTTTAAAATAGCTCCACATTGTTACGGGAAACCATTAAATCACAGAAACATATGCTAGTACTTCTCATAGGAACCATTTCCACTTCCTTTCTTTCTGCAGACACCATGGTTCCAAAACTTTAATAATTAAAAGTCATTTTCCTTGTACAGAAGCTCCAAGTTTGGTAAGTCAAAATCCACAGATTTATTCTTTCTCTTGACCTTGTTTTTTTCCTCTACCATTTAAAAAAGTAACTTGGTTACCTCCCCAAGGATTCAGCAAAGGCAAGCCTGAAAATCCCATTACTGTCTCAACTACCACAAGCATCCTCTATCATGGGATAAGGGACATGAGGCAGTTTTGTTCCAGATGCAAACTGTGCAGACATGAACCCACTGAGTTGGAGCTAGGTCCGAGGTCAGATGCTGGAGAGCAGAAGGGAGAAGGGAGAGGACTGAACTGATGCCTCTGGAGGAGCTGTTGCAAGATGGGAATCTACCCTCCTCATCCCAAGTTATTACCCTGTTGACCCCCTGAGGTTTAAGAGGGATACAAAGGCTCAGAGAGCTTAGGAAACTTCTCTGGGGCCTCAGGGCAGGTATGCAGGATTTCAACCCTGGTGTCTTTGGCTCCTGCACCTGTGTTCTGACCCTGGAAACACACAGGGAATCACTTTGCACCCCCTGGGAGGGCTGATGCAGCTCCTCTGTTCCCTCTTCGGGCCCTGACTCTGCAGAGCCCTGGGGAAGTTTTCCTTTAAAGAGGCCAGCCCCCTATTTCCACTATTTTAAATGTATAACATTTATTTAAGCCCCAAAAATAAATTCCTAAATAAGCTGCACTCACAGCATAAATACCTAAGTGATGTTCTGCTTTAAAATCTAGCAGGATTCTTGTACAGAACACTCCCATTCACCTGGCCACAGCAAGAATAAAGCTTTCAGTCCAAAGAATCGGGAGCTTTTGCAGGTACATATACATTATACTTTAAAAAAAAAAGATTTATTTATTTATGCATACAGAACTGGGTTGAGTCAGAGGTGCAGGGACTGAGAGGCTTCACCAGAGACAGAGTGGGGAGCAGAACAGGCAGATGGACGAAGTACACTGCTGAGGGGAGCAGCAGGCAGGTCAGGAGAGGTCTGCCGCGCCATGTGGGTCACTTCCCAGCGGGGGTTGAACTCATGCAGAAGTGGCTTTAGCTTCTTAGTGCTGTGTTTAACACGCTGCGCCACCAGGGAGGGTCCTATACATTATACTTTTAATGAAGTTATCACATCACTTGAATGGAGTTGAACTCTTTCATCAGAATTCAAGCCAATGACCTTTTCTCATACCCACAAGTCAGTGAGAATTTGACAGTGGGAATTCTGCAAAAGTCAGGGTTTTAGAATTTTTACTCTTGAAGGGTTAGCTGACTACTTGCAGCCCCTGCTTGCAGACAAGGGGCAGGGGAGCTCACTCCTTCCTAGTGAGTGCTCATCACCTCCCTCTACAAAATACAAAATATGCTGATGCAGACGCCTGCCTCGCCCCAGGACCTGAGAGCAGGGTCAAGGCCGTGATGTGCTGAGGCTCTTCCCAGGTCATCCACCTCCACAACCTGGGGAGGACCTGGGCACCCTCGGGCAGAACCTCCACACACACAGCCTTGCGCCCCCACAACAAAAATTGTTCCAAAAGCTGGCAGCCTGAAGTGAATGCTGTACGAATGCAATGCTGTTGTTAGTCCCTAACTGGAAATATATAGATGCCTGAACTGTAGTGAAATCCTCAAAGCAGC